ATGCTATTGAACCATTGATCAGATACTTCTTTTCCAACAATATGGGCTTTCATGTATCATGAAAATGTGTTTTGCAAATTTCCAGAAGTGCTGAATAGAGAGTAACACAAGCATAGCTGCACCTGCAAGAAAGTAAGGGATATCTGCAGAGTCAAAAATGAAGAAAAAGCTGTGACTCTCAGGAGCCAACCCTGGGGCTGCTAGGAGTGATGTGGGAAGGGCAGGTGGCCAGGCTTGAGGTCAGATTGGCAATCAAGGAGTTTAGGTTGTAATGACCTGATTAGCAGAGACCCACCAGCGGGTCTGGGGTTTCCCCGAGGTGAAAGTTGGCACTGAGACCCCAGGGTGAGAATGAATAAAAACAATTGCTTGCCCAGGTGTGGTGGTGCTCACCTGTAATCTCACCTATTAGAGGTTGAGGAAGGAGGACTTAAAGTTAGAGAGTACCCTGGGCAACTTAATGAGACCCTTTCTCAAAATAAAAAATTAAAAAAAGGGCTGAGTATGCAGTCCAGTGGTAGAGTGGTCCCAAGTTCAATCCCAAGTACTACACAACAACAAACTAACAAATTCCTGACTCATTCAGGGAGGTGATAAGGAAGCTTGTTTGAAAAAAATGTATCCCTTAAAATCCACAATAATACCTATGTCCTCCCATAGATATGATATTTAAATTTATATTATGAGTTGTCTAGGATATACCCCAGCAAAGAATTAATACTAATGCCGTCACAGGCTGATGACACCCGTGGGGCACCTGGTTGAAACAAATGATGAAATGTGTCTGGGAGGCCACATCCTCACCTCAGAGCCTCTAGCACCCTCACATAAAAGTCTCAACTGAAGAGTGATGTACAATTTAAAACTACCAAACACATGTAGAAACAAGGGGGAAAGAAAGAAGAGTTAGCAAGAAAGAAAATAAAAAGAGTTAGCAAACAAAATGAAAAGCAATATTAAAACCATCAAAATTTCAGATGAAATATAATTATCAGATCAATTATAATGTTTAAAATGATAACAGTAATAAATATTAATAAAGAACACAAAAATAAGACCCCATCCAAAAAGTTTGAGTTAAATAAGAAATGAATTGTAACTCAGAAAGGAAAAAATTCTAGTTTGAAACTTATCATGATAAACTAAATATTACACATCACTGATTAAATGATGAGAGAATGGAAAGATAGGGCTGAGGAATATTCCGAAGCCTGTGCAGAAATGGAGAGATGGAGCACAAGGAAGGGAGACTTAGTAACAAAGATTGGGGAATGTGAAGGTCCAACATGTATCACTAGATGTTCCAGAAGGGGAAAATAAAGGGAATGGAGGTAAGGCAGTATTTCAAGGTGGAATATAAGAGAACAAATACAAGCTACGACTCCATCAGGTCAGCAGCCTAAATAACGTAAAATCCTCTACTACACACAACACAGTATAACTAAGACACCACCAACTATAAAGGTCAAGATCTCAGCACTTACAGATAAAAGGCTGTTTGCCTACAAAGAAATGAGCATCAGATTGTCTGATTCTGCGACAGCAACAAAAGAAATCAAAAGATGATGAAATAATATAGTCAAAGTACAGGGAAAAATAACCATCATCTTATATTACAACTAAAAAAACACTTCCAAATATGGGCAAAATAAAAAATTCGAGACAAAAATTGAGAGCATTCCCCCAAAATACTGGATCTTGGGTGTGTGATACTGGATTAATCCATGATTGATTTAGCATAGTTCTGGGTATAGATGACAGACTTATTGAAAAGGGAAGACCTACCGTAGGTGTGGGTGGCATCAACCAATAGAATTGTAGCCTGCATAGAATAAAAAGGGAAAGAAGAAAGCTCACAGCTTCCTGCTTGCTACACCATGAGCTGTTTCTCCTCTGCTATGCTCCTCTGTCATGCTGTCCTGCCTTGGAGCCAGCTGACTATGGATTGAAACCTCTACAAAGTGTGAGCCAAAATAAACAGTTCCTCCTTTAAATTGTAGCTCTTGGGTATTGTATCTCAGTGATAAGAAGGTAATTAAGACAGACACTATAAAATTTTTGCTAAAAGATTTACTTAAGAATATACTTCAGAAGAAATTGACCCCAAAAGAAAGAAGTGAGATTAAATTTGAACATATATTTAACACACAGAAGACTAGTTGGGGAGTGTTGAAACAAGGGGAAATGAAAGTACTGGTCACAATAGTGTGTAAAGAGGGGACGGATGACAGACTTGAGGCATCCAGGAATTTTGGGGAGAAGGTTAGTAATATTGGTTGATTATACAGTTTGTGAAAGAAATCTGTGTTTTAGAATATGAAAGGGTAATCACTTCAGGAGAGAACTTGTATGTATGACTTCCAAATCAACAGGAACAACACCTTTGAATACATAAAAATTGATCAATAAAATGGATGCAAGAAAGAAAAAACAGAGAAAAATTGGGTTAAGTGTAAAGAACAAAATGAGATGACTGAAATAAATCCACGCACAGCAAGATTGGGAGAATATGCCAAATTAAGCTCTCAATTATAAATACAGATTGTCAGTCACACTGGATTAGAAAATCTAACTATACATTTAAAAAACAGACATTTAGAAAATAAAGACAAGTTAATGTATGTTGAGTGTAAAAGAATGGAAAACACCAGCAAAATATCAGTTTAAAGGAAGTGATGTAGCTATATTAGGAATAGACAAGGTTGTCTTTCAGGTAAATGATAAAAAAAAAATAATTCACTGGAAAGATGTAACATGTAGGCATGTAAAAGCAAAAAAATGACAGAATTTCAAAGATAAATGAACAATTATCTAATTGTAAAGGGAGAATCAAACACATCTCTCATAGGATTTGATGGTTTATAATAACACAACAAAACAAAAAGGGACATATAGGAGATTTGAATGGCCCAATGAGCAAATTTGGTCAAAAAGACCTATGTCAAGATTACACATTCTTTCCAGGAATGTGTGATACCAAAAGGCCGACTACATCACAGGCCACAGGGCAATTCCTGATATGCAACAAAGGACTGAAGAGACTGTGTTCTTAAGAGTCTTCATGGGTTAGACAATAACAGCAACAATTAAAATCAAATCATATATGTTTGGAAAAATTTTAAATAATTCACAGGTCCATGGGCTGGTTGTCAATATGGAGTATGGGATAACACAGCAGATGCTGAACAGGGCTGGCCTAGCCTGGGCTTCCCAGCAGCACAGTGTATAATGGAGGAAACTGGAAAGAATAGATGCCTAAGTGTGGGACCCAGCCTGGGGCACCCAGAGGACCTCTAACATTTTAGTAAGGTTTTATTTCTCAGGAATACATCACATATTGATGTGTTTCATTCTAATATTTTCTAGACTTATTTACTGCATACCTAAAATTTTCCTAATTAAAAGTGAGGGTGAGGGTTATGGGGAGAAGGCATTCACATATAACTGGAGTGACTGTCAATTGGTACACGTTCGTGGTTTGTATCTAGATGTCCTCACAAAGCTTCATGTGCTCATAGGTGAGGTTTTTGGGAGGTGACTGGAGTTTGGGAGTGTGATACTCATCACTGGATTAGTCCATTGATGAGTTTATAGGTAAATGTGATGTTGGAAAGGGGGATCTTTAGGGGTAAATCTCCCACCCTCCTCCCTTAATCTCTCTGCTTCCTGCTGCCCTGCCGTGGACTGTTTCTCCTCCACTATGCCCCTCTGCCGGGAGCCAGCTGACTATGGGCTGAAACCTCTACAAACTGTGAGCCAAAATAAACCTTTCCTCCTTTTCATTTTGAGTGCTGGCTATTGTGTCTCAGAGACTAAACAGCGACTAGGACAGTACAGCAAGGACAAATTAAAACCTCCTGTGATGCCACTCTTTTTAACCTCTTGGGTGGACTAAGTCGAGCAACGGTTTTGTTGTGACGATGGTGGGAGATGGGCACTCTCCTCCACTGTAGGTGGGGGTAGAAATTGGAACCCCTCCCCCAACATCTACCGTAATTACCTCTAGGTATTGAGTCCTGAAAGTAATCTTAACGCAAAGGTTTATCTACACAAAGTGCCGCATAGCAATCACAGCTTTGTCAGAACTATTAGCAACAACAACAACAACACGAATAAAGAAACCCTAAATGTCCAACACTATCTAATCAGTTCTAGTTTGTGGTACAGCTGAACAATGGAACATAATACGGACATCGGAAAGATGGTGCTGAAAGTTTCAATGTTGTGGAACTGCTTGCAAAATATTAAACTAAAGTAAAACAGGGTACAGAATAATATGAAGATTAAATCATTAAAATAATACCTATGCACTGAAGTCAATCTACCAAAATGTTAATGGAATTTACTATTGGAAGGATTATAGGTGACTCACTGCTTCCTAGGATTCTTTGCCTTCTCCAAAAATTGTGCTTGCGTGCGTGCGTGCGTGTGTGTGTGTGTGTGTGTGTGTGTGTGTGTGTATGTACATATTACTTTTTACTAGGAGACGTTCTCCTTTGCAGAAATAATTTAAACTGGCTGGAAGAGAGCCCCGAGGAAGGCAGGGAGACTGAAGACTCATTCCATTCCCATGGAAATCTGTTGACTGACTATCGCATAATCTGGTGAAAAAGTGGACTTGCCTTCGTGAGTGACGTCAGCACGGACCGGTTGGGTTTTGTGGGGGAAGCTGCCCACCCTCTGTGATCCTGGTTTCGCTTCTGTAAAATGGGCCCAGCCAACCGAATGGCCTGGTGCCCTGCTTCGTTTTGAGGGTCCCGGGCCGGGGTCACGCGTGCAGGCGCGGTGTGCAGAGCCCCACGCGCGGGGCGTTCCGCGCGGATGGCTGAGGCCGCCGCCCAGCAGCAGCAGCAGCGACGCTGAGCTGACTCGGGCGCCCCGGCGGGC